GGGGCCAGTGAGGCAGTGACGGTGAGAGTGGGGCCGGTGAGGCAGTGACGGTGAGAGTGGGGCCGGTGAGGCTGTGACGGTGAGAGTGGGGCCGGTGAGGCAGTGACGGTGGTGAGAGGGGGGCTGGTGAGGCAGTGACGGTGAGAGTGGGGCCGGTGAGGCAATGACGGTGGTGAGAGCGGGGCCGGTGAGGCAGTGGGCAGTGAGATTGGGGCCGGTGAGGCAGTGACGGTGAGAGCGGGGCCGGTGAGGCAGTGACGGTGAGAGCGGGGCCGGTGAGGCTGTGACGGTGAGAGTGGGGCCGGTGAGGCAGTGACGGTGAGAGTGGGGCCGGTGAGGCAGTGACGGTGAGAGTGGGGCCATTGAGGCAGTGACGGTGAGAGCGGGGTAGGTGAGACAGTGGCATGCAGTAATCCATCCTCTTAGTTCATCTGTCTTACCTGTTATACTTCTTGCATTGACGTAAATGCACTCCAGAGATCCAGTCCCTCTGAGCCCCATGACTTCTCTCTGCCTGCTTTTACTCTGCACTATACATATCTCAGTTTCACCTTTATCCCCAGTCCCTGCACTTACTGGCCTGTTGTTTCGGTTCCCAACCCCCCCCACTAAGTTTAAACGCTCCCAAAGAGCTCTAACGAACCTCCACCCAGGATATTGGTGCCCCTCCAGTTCAGGTGCAAGGTCCCACCTTCCCCAGAAGACATCCCAATAATCCATATATCTAAAGCCCTCCCTCCTACGCCAGCTCTGTAGCCACGTGTTCAACTGTACTCTCTCTCTGTTCCCAGCCTCACTAGCCCTAGTAATCCTGAGATTACTACCCTGGTAGTCCTGCTTTTTAGCTCCCTACATAACTCCCTGACTTGTCTCCGCAGGACCTCTTCCTTCTTCTTACCTATGTCATTTGTGCCAACGTGGACAATGACTGTTTTCCCTCCTGTTTCAGGATGTCCTGTACCTGCTCAGAGACGTCCAGATCCCAGCACCAGGGAGACAATACACTATCCTAGAGTCTCGTTCACAGCCATAGAAACGCATGCCTGTGCCCCTGACTATTGAGTCACCTACTACTATCACTCGCCTGGACTTTGCTCCACCCTGCTGTACAGCAGAACCCAGTTATGGTGCCACAGGCCTGACTATCCTCCCGCAACAGTATCCAAAAC